GTTCAAAAACCGTACATAACCACCGTAATAGACCTGTACAAAAAACCACCAGAATTTGGTAGAAAATGGCCTTTTTATAGCCCGCAAAACTGGTTTAGCGATCTCTGGTCAGATTCTTGAAATATTTTTTGTTGTATTTGATTGGTTGATGATTCTGAATTAATCGTAGCTAAAGTAGATTTGATGTCTAATACAGAAAAAGATGATCAAACGATGTAGTGAATTGTCCAACTATCGAATAAAATCAGTCAACTCAGCAAGTTGACTGAAAAAAAATTTTTTTTATCTGGTGATAAACTCTTTTACTAATCAAATCAAACATAAAATTATTACTCCTAAAGCTCACTCAATAAATATCAATGGTTCGTTATATTTATAAAAAATATTAAAATAAGTCAAAAAAGAAAAAAAAATTCTTCTATATATATTAACACTATTACTATTAATTAATATAAACTAGTATTATACTTACATATAAATATTTTAAAAACTTGCAATTAAATTTTATTTTATAATTCTTCTTTTATAGCAATTGGGGTGCTACTTTCGAAAATACAAAAGATTTTCTTATAGATAATAATTTTAATTAATTTTAATCATTACTTTTGTCTAGAGATATCAAAATTCAATTAGTTTTAATTAAAATTTTAATAAAATAAAATGTTTCTTACAAAAATCCATAGTAATTATATAATTAAATAAAAAAAGTAAATTAAATAGATAAAAATTTACTTAATTATTATTGTCTATGGAATTCTAAATTTTGAACATCAAATTTTATAAAGAAATGTATATTTTTGTTTTGTTTTATATATATATATATTTTAATTGTTCAAAATAAGAATTATATAAAAGTTTAAATGATCGAAATTATTTTTAACACGTCAGAAATATTTATTAACGATACTTATAAAAAAGGAACTAGTATTGATTTTACTCAATACCTACAAAAATAATGAACCAATAAGTTAATACTTATTTGAGTCATTATGCTATCTTAACCATATGATGTGTTAAGTGGAAAAAATGATACATTATAAATATATTCGTAAAAAATTCTATAGTTATATTTATGAATAAAACAAAATTACGCCTTTTAGAAAGGCTAGAAACAAAAATAGTGCTTATTATTATAAAAAAAATGTATAAATACGCAAAATCATGTTGGAGTATCGTATTGCTGACTTGATAAATTAATTAGATTAGAAACATGATTTTAAGTAAAAATTAAAATAAAAGCAATTAAATAAAAACAAATTTAAAAATTTTATATTTTTCATAATTTCTGGATGTTTAGAATACATGATTTCAATATATATTATTTTATGTAATTATGTTATTTAAAAAATGTTACATGTTTATATATATAAAAAAAACTGTTAATTATTTATTCAATATATTATTATTTTGTATTAACTTATATCAATTTGCTGTGTATCCCATTGTGACTCAAATATATTATGTATCTTAAACTCATAATTATAATGTAAATATTAATTTTAAGGAATTTATATGTAATATTATAATTACTAAAAAGTAGAATTATACTGTCAAATACTTTAATTGTAACGCTAGTAAGTATAATGCTATTAATGTTTTAATGATTATTTAATGAACAATGTAAATACAGGGTATGGCACTGTAGTGTGACACATTGTACCGCACCACTGCTTGACACATCAATGGGTGAGCGAGTTCTGTTTATGACTGATGTGTTTGTTATTGTATGCAGTTTAGTATCCATGGAGAATTGGCAGGTAAATCAACGCGTGTTCTACGTGACGGCTTACATTGAAACGAAATCTGTTATTACGGTCCAAAGATGATTTCGGGCTGAGTTTAATATCCCAAGATGTGGTCGCATTCCATCGCGAAATATTATTTTGCAATGGTTTGTTACGTCGCTATTTAGGGGTTGAGCCTAAATGCCCGTCGACAGTATTCTAAGGGACCAACGGGGGATAGCTGGCTAGGATATATCTACCTTAGGTACTGAAGTTTCCTATTTAATTTATATTCCCTTAGAGGAACTACCAAGGGTCGTACTACAATATATATATATATAACATTTTAGGTTAACAACGATATAAATAAATATTTATTAAGCAATTAAAATATTAAATAGATAATACAACCTGCTGGACACCTAGAGATGTTATAATCCAACAGGGAGCTGACGGCGACACACACACACACTATAATATACGGGTAGCAAAGTTAAGTTAATTATCAGGCAAAAGTAGTGATCGCGAAGATGGTAAAATGTCAACTGTCGATAGGGATATCTTATTATGGCACATTGGCCGTGAATTGCAAAAAGTGTTTATGTGTGCAGTCCGCCCTCCTGTTAGTATTGCTGTATGTCACTGTGTTAATTATATATATATATATGTCTATTAAACGGTACAACGATGTTATGGGAGACAGAGATATGGGCACATGCAAATGTGATCGTATCAGGTTGAAGAACTGGAATGCGCATGAAACTGTCTGTGATAGGTTTGCTGGTTCATCTCATACTGTGTGAACGCCGGAAAATATTCAAAGAGTTGAAGAAGCAGTAACAGCCAGACCAACACGTTCAGTGAATAAACATGCAAGGGCTCTAAATCTATCAGATCGTACAGTGCGCCGTATTTTGCATGGTAATCTTAAGCTTCATCCCTATAAATTACAGATTGTGCATCAATTATCCCCACAAGATCAATTTAAACGATTTGAATTTTGCAGGGAATTTGTAAGATTGTTTGGCAAAAGACCAGATCTGATGGATAATTATATTATGTCGGATGAAGCTCATTTTCATTTATCGGGTTTTGTTAATAAACAAAATTTTCGAAATTAGTGTGCAGAACAACCAGTTCAGTTGCATGAGAAACCTTTACATGCTGAAAAATTACGGTTTGATGTGGTATTGCAACATTCGGGATTATTGGACCGTATTTTTTTAAAGAGAACAATCGAACTGTAACCGTTATCTCGGAACGATATTTACAAATACTACAAACATTTCTTTCTGCCAAATTACGTAGATTGAGAGTCGAAGATCCGAAATATGGTTTCAACAAGATGGGGCAACTAGTCATACCGATAGAATAGTTATGTAATTTTTAAAGAATGAGTTTCCTAGGTTTCGCGAAATAGAGACCTTGCCTGGCCAGCACATTCTCCTGACTTAACGGCTCCAGATTGTTTCTTATGGGCGTAATTAAAGTCTAAAGTGTATCTAAACAAGCCCCGCACACTGGATGAGCTAAAGAACAACATAACTGAGGAGATAAGAAGGATTTATGAAAGACTTCGAAGCACAGTTATGAACCACCTCCGAGAAAATATCGAAAAATATATACAGTTTAATGGTAGACATTTAAAATCTGTAATTTTTAAAAAACAATAAACTTTTAAAAACTGCATTCAATGAGTATTATTTTTCAGATTTTTACTTCTTTTTACAACAAAATTTCTAATCACTACAGTGTAGCGAAAAACGTCACATTCCACTGCCGGAACCTGTATAATAGGAAACTTGACTATCTTCTCGGTGGTCAGTGTTCAATCAGTGAATATTACATTATAATTAGTTATTATTTTGACTTTTTCTGACAACACTTATCTGCGTGGTCAAATTAAACTTTGAACATCCAGTTTACAAAACAAGTAAAATATTGTAATCTAAGTCGATAAATTCTGATTTATTTTTGGAATTTCAAACTGATATATCTGGTAATAAAAGAGCACAACTTGTGATAAAAAAAAACAAACAGATAGTATTCAACAAGTAAAGTCAACAAGTGGTGGATCGTTGAGAAAATCTTCTAATAGTATTGGAGATAGTGATAGATTGAGATTTATGTATAATGAGAATTATAATGATTTAAGATCGGAATATGGCCTATCCGTCGAACAATTATTAGAAAGACGAATATTCAAAACAGAACAAGAGTAGCGCAGAAAAGAAGTTCACCAGAAAAAAATTGAAGAAGAACAAAAACAAAAAAGAGTAAAAAATGAAAATATTTCTTGCAGCAGAAAAAACAAAAAAAAAAAAAACAGCATAGTAGGGACGCGACATAGTTGGGCCCAGTATGGATGATATCTGACAGTGATTCAAATCACCATCACAAAAATCGCTTCGATGGAAATCTGTAGATAGTGTTTAATTTTAATAAATTGGTGATTATTCCAAAAGCCTTAATTTAAGATATATATAAGTCAATATTTCCAGAACACTTTCAAAAATTAAGTTAAAAAACTTCTCTTTTCTATATGTATTTTTAAGTTTTGAACCCTTTTCTATAAAGGGAAATGGTCTGATTTAAAAAAAAAAAGTATGTCGAATGAAAGAGGTGTATAAATAGTATTTTTCATTAAAAAATTGTACTGATCCATACATTTAAAAAAAATTATAGAAATATAAAGTTAAAAATGTAGTAAAATATAATAAAGACCTTTTGAAACATTGTGAAATTTTAAATCTGAATGCCGCAATCTACAATGTGTGATTTGACATCGACCGGCTTCATATTTTTATTTCTACGACTGGCATAAAGTAAAACTGCCGTTCTATCATCAGATCAGCGTTTCTCGGCTTCCTGACAGCGGGTAGTAGTGATGACAGGATACACGCAGCGTAATCCCATAAATCCTATCTATTGTACATCCNCACAATTCCGGATACTGTTCGTTTCATCACTCGCCTCTGCCAACCCTACACCGGATTCGGAAGAGAGTTAAGGTCAGAAACATAGTTTTGGCCCCGCACCCACGCTACCGCATCGGCTATCTCTTTTACAGTGAATGTATTTTGTTTGAAACACTTACTTTACGTTTATTGTAGTCTATTTATTTTCAAATGAATGTGGTAGAGCTATATAGAACAATTCACCTAGAGGGATATATTTGTAAACACGCAGCGTAATCCCATAAATCCTATCTATTGTACATCCCGAATCAATTTTTTTACGAAAATTAAAAATTCTCTACAGTTTCCAAAAAAATGACATTTTTTTCCTTAATGAATTACACTAAATTGCTTTGTACATAATCATCAAATATCTTACCATGGTAAATATAGTTAGTTATCTCTAATCGTGGTAAATGTTCGTCTCTTATCTAAAAAAAATATCGTTACGCCATGAGCATACCTCATAATTGAAATTTTAAATAGTTTAAAAGAGAAACATAGTATAACTATTCTTGTTAAATTATTCGAATAAAGTAAATTTTATAATAAATATTAAAATATACAGTATAAGTAGAATATCAACTAAGTTGCGTAAAACAAAAAATGGGTAGTGCTAAAATTGTAAAACTTATTGATTTAGCTAATAAAAGGTTGAATAGTAGTGAAGATTTTGACGAGTTTCAATCGTTTGCTCGCGAAGAGCTTGATGTAAAAACTGTAAGTATAATTTGTGAATAATTTGTTTTTCTTTTTGTGCGTTGATTTAAATGAACTTTAAAAATCTTTTTCTTTATACAATGGTGTATTGAAGATTTTGCCACCTTATGGTAATATTGTTTTTATTTCTTTAAATATCAGTCTTTCAATTACTAATTATTAGAAATTTTTTTATAGGAAAAATATCTATTATCTGTTTCAGACACTTTGTACTGTGTACTCATGATTTTCTTTTTTTTATTAATATTCAACTATATTTTTGATGTTAAAAAAATGCTAAATAATGTAAGCAATAAAATTGAAGTTTTTTTTCTAGAATTTTTAAGTTGAAAAATAGATTTATCTAAAAATCGATTTTAGTCTTTCCTAGGATCACCTATCAATGAAAAAGTTACTTTGAATTTTATTAACAAAAAATGAAAAATTTGATCTGTTTAGGTTAATTTATATTATTTCTGTTTTAAATTTTCTACCTGAAGTACCCTTTAAATAAATTTCTGTATTTACTTAGTTTCTCATTTATTTTTATTTTGAAATATTTATGTTTTATGTTCTTTCTAAGAATTATTGGATGTACCAGAAAAAACAAGGAACCTATAAACACTACAGAATCAAACGTTTGTATCTACACACTGAGACATGATGTGTTACAGACTAAACCAGTTAGGCCACCTAGCCAAAATGTAAAATTTATAAAATTGTAATTTTCTTACCAGTCATTTTCTTACTTTTAAAGTAATTAAACCTAAATATTTCCATTTAAAAACTTAAATTGATACTACTTTGAAGGGAGAAAGAGAACCAATTTTTTGTTTTTAAATTATAGAACATAGGATACTATTAACTTCTGAAAAAAAAAAGTAATATGTTTTATATTTTTGAAAAATTTTTATGAGAATAGTTAACAAATCACTCTGTATTATTAAGGTTAATTCATTTTTTTATATTTATGTTTATAGATATATTCATTAATTGATGAAAAAATAGATCATCAAGATGGGCCAAAAGTGTTAGAATACATATTAGTTGGATTATCAGTAATAACTGATGCTCAACCAATTGTAGAAAAAGTAATTAAGCTACAATCTTATATAAATAATAAATAAATCATAAGTTCCAAAGTCAAATAATATATAATAAATATTAAAATATACAGTATAAGTAGAATATTAACTAGTTGTGTATAGAATTGTTTATTTAATTATATTTTAGTTGATAATAAATATAATACTTTTTTAACTTAAACTATTATAAAATTACATTTTATACAATTTATTACTAATTTTGAGAATTTTTTTGTTTATTAAATACATTTAAAAAACATTTGTTTATTTTAATTTCGCTATCATGTTTTAGGTGTATGAATATGTTTTAAAAGCTATAAATGCTGCAGATATTACAGAAAAAATGAAAATTTGTTTAATAAGTCGCTTATCTCTTGAGTTAAATAAGTTATCTACTGGTCAATTAATTAAATTTATTAATATGTGCAAGAATGATATAGAATCATCAAATGAAAATAGCATCCATATGTATTTTTTTCTTTTTTAATTATAAGACTTTATGTTTATCAAAAACTCATCAGAAAAACATTTTTTTTGTAATTAGCTGGAAAGAAATAATGCCGCAAATTTTAAAAATTATATCGGAAGAAAAGAGTTTAAAAATTGAAAGCTTAGAACTCAGTGGAGCTGATTATAAAGAAATGATAATTAAAGACATATGTCATTTTAAAGTAGAATCAGATATCATAGTACCTTTAGCTCTAATGTTCAGGTATTTCTCTACACTACTAAAATAAATATAAATGATTCAACGTTATGTTTAGAGCTTAGAATTCAATGTTCATAAAAAGTAATAAATATGCATTTATATTTTATTTTTTTACTCAATATTTTTTTTTTTTAGCTTTGATGCGAAGCGGAGAAGGTATTAATTTTACAATGATGTGTTTATTTTTTTTTTATGTCTGTTGCCACTTTTTCTCAGCTCTCACTGGACCGATTTCTTTCAAAATTACGTCAAAAGATCACAAATCGTATCTAGTTGAAGACATTACCCTTAAAAATTGAAAAAAATTTCCTCGTTCCCCGCAAATGGGGGAAATATCCAAAAATATTACAAATTTAAAAATCGCTAATTTTCGAAATTTTTTCACTTTTTTTTCTTAAAACTTCCATAACTTTTTGAAAAATCAACAAATCAACATAATTTTTTTTTATACTAAAACCTTAGATATTTACCTTTCATTTGATATCATTTTTTTGAAAATCTATCACTTAACCTGCTCATTGGGGGGGATTTAAAATGGCAACTTTTTTACAAAAAATAACTTTTTCAACTTAATTTTTGAAAATGTTCCGGAAATACTGCGTCCTTTAAACATATATCAAATTAAAGCTTATTTTATGTACTACAAAATGAAAAAAAAAAATTTGTCCCGACACTTTTTTTTCTACATTTAAACGGCTGCCGTAGTTAAAAAAACACTATTTTTGTGTTAAAATTTTCGATTTTCGATTTTAAATTTTCAACTTAAAAATGCTATAACTTTTTGAAAAATGTATATATCAGCAAAAAATTTTTTTTTCTAAATACATTATAAGTACATCTTTCATTTGACATACTTTTTATTAAAATTGGACAATTTCCCCTTATATAGGGGGCGTTCAAAACTTAAAATATTGTAAAAAACATAGATCTTTTTCAACTGAACTTTTGAAAATGTTCCGGAAATACTGCGTCCTTTAAACATATATCAAATCAAAGATTATGTTATATACTATCAAATGAAAAAAAAAAATTTGTCCCGATGATCTATCTTCTATGCGCAAATGGCTACCATATTGAAAAATATACTATTTTTGTATGATAATTATGGGTTTTGTATTTTATTTTAATAGAAGTGATGTTGCTTTTGCAATTCCATCAATTTTTTAAAATTAAACACTATCTACAGATTTGCATCGAAGCGTTTCTTATGATAGTGATTTTAATCACTGTCAGATTAAATCTATACTGGACCCTACTATTTATTGTTAATATGTTCTTATTACATATTGACGAAAAACAGGACTCATAGACTTATACTACTAAAATTTTTTTTTTTTTGTACAAATATTAAAAAGTTTATATGTAAAAGATAATTTTTTTTATCATAACCTACTCAATTACTTTCAGAATAAAAATAATTAAAAAAAAAATTTTTTTACCTTTAGATTTTATTATTTTAATAGTTAATAGCATTTGAATTTTTAATATAACATTATTCGTTTATTACATATAAATTTTAAAGTTTCAAATTTTTGAGTAAGTAGACATGTATAATATATAAGGGATTACAAATACAGGTAGCTTATTGTTTTTCTATGACATTCTATGTCATTTGCAGAAGTTATTGTCAATGGTAGTAAGTTACATTGTTGTGAGTTCACAAATACATCAAATGGCAATACAGAAAGCATATCTATTGATAAAATCATAATTGACAATTATCACTCAGTATATTTGATAGCAACGTCATAAAAAACAATTAGCTACTTGTATTTATAATTGCTCATATATAATACATGTATATTTACTTAAAAATTTGAAACTTTAAAGATTTATATCTAATAAACGAATAAATTTTATGTTAAATTTAAAATTCCATTTACTATTAAAATAAAATCTTAAACATTTTACTAAATTCAATATATATATATTCCCATTTAAAAAAACAAATTTGAAACCCTTATAATGCATGAGAGATGAACTTAAAAAATATTACTTAGCTAATAATTCAAGAATAATATGTAAATTAAGGTAACAAAAAAAAAAAAATTTAATTATTTTTATTCTGTAAATAATTGAGTGGGTTATAATAAAAATTCATCCTCTATATTCATATACAGAATGATTGGTTTATCATAAATTACTCGATTAATTGCAAAAACCATTTAATTGTTGATTTATCAGCTAATAATTACCTTTTAGAATCAACCTTTAAAACCTTAAGGGGTGCCAACTTTTATTTTTAAATGATAATATATATATATTTAATTAACTAATAAAATAGAAAATTATGTAATTAAAAAAATGACAGGTCGATAACAACTTTTGGATCAGTACTTTGGGTGTTATTCTTATTTTTGTACCTAAGCAGGATCAAAGGGTATGGCTGTAAAATAACTAGTGTTAAAAATAACAGCACCTACTCCTCACCTCCAGTCATTACTTTAAATTGTTAATAACTTCTGAATTAGTGGTCCAAAAGATGTTATCGACCAGTAATTTTCTTAATTACATAATTTTCTAAAAAATTATGGTTGGTTGTTGGTTAGGATAAACCAATCACTCTTTATACATAAAAAAAAATTAAAACTATTTCTATGCTACAACAAAGTAGCACAAACTTGAAACACTCCAAAGTGGCTCAAATAAAATTTATAAATGCATATTCCACATATAATATTTGCCTATAAATTTTAAAATTTATTCTAATAATACTTTTTATTAAATGTAGAAGAACTCAATTAAGTGAAAAGGAGCATGAGTTAGTTATATTAATGCTGTGTTCATATTTTGAACACTTGAAACCACAAGAAGTGCCATCTTTATTGCAACAAATATTACCATTTTGTTCAAGTGGTGATTTTTTATATCTTTTTTGTACTTTACGAAAATATTTTGATGATAAGTATATAATTAATAAAAGTATTAATGATCAAAATAGATTTGAAATAGGTATGTTTTTTTACTCAAAATAATAATTATTTTCAATTTTTAAACTTTTTTTTTTCAGAAGGAGCTGATGTAAATGATATGATGGAAGCCGAAAGTACAGTTCTTTTTCTTTTAGAAGATTTTGCCAAAGTCCATGCTTCATTTGTAAGCGATGTGACTAAATACATAAAAAGTTGTATAGGGGCTCCTAATATGGTGTTTGGACCATTTATGTTAGCATTTTTACTGACCATGTCTTGTTGTGGGCCATATGAAGTTCTTGTAAGAAATTTTACTTTTATTAAAAAAATATTATAAATAATTATTTTAAATTTTAGGTTATTACCTTGATAAAAAAATTAGTTATTCAGTCCTTAGAAGAAGATGAAAATATCAAGCGTTCGTGTTGGTTGAAAATTAATTATACAAATATTTATGATGTTTTTGAACAATTTCAAATATTTATAAAAAGCGAGTATGTATTTATCAAAACAGTTTTTTATGTATTTAAAGTTTGAAATATCTTAAATTTTGATTCAGAATATCAAGCTATGAAAAAGTATTTAAAGGATTAGTCAATTTAGGGTTGTCATTCCTTGGAACAACATCATCTGTATTTAAAAGTATGTATAATATTTAATTTAATTATTTTATTAGTGATGTTTGAACTGAATTGAACATGAACTTTTAAGTTCTATTTTAAATTATAATTGAACTTTTCCTTGTACATTGGTTTTAAAAATTGAACTACTATAATCAAATATCACATTGACTTTATTGAATAATATAAAAAATGATTAAAATCAATTAAAATATTCATATTTTACTCTTTGTGATACATTCAATGATAAACTTATAATGGTTATACTTATAAATAAGCAAAAAAAAATTAATGATGCGTAGAATTTTGAACTTACATCAGCTATTAGTAACAAAATTAATTTTTGCTGTCCTTGTTATTGTAATTATATTTTTAAACAAAAATATTTTTAATGTTCTGTTTTAGAAAATGTAGAAATTGTTAATAAAATCCACCAGTTAGGATTATTTATCATTGTAGCATTGGTTAACAAAAGATCATTTATAACAAGTAGTGTGTTGCGAAGTTTGACAAATTTTATTGCTTCTAATCCTACATGCTGCCAATATTTAGGTGTTTTTATATTTGGAATTTTTTATTTAATGGATATAGTGGCAATACTTTGTATCAACATTTTTAATATTTTTCAGATAATATGCTATTTATTAGCTCTGAAATATTATTTAAAGTATATAAAATACTGAAGTGTACAGTAAAACTTTTTTTAATGTATGTAAAATTAGATACACTATTTCACATAATCTTAATTTAAAGAAAAGTTATGAATTTTTGACAATAAGCAAAATTAACCTCAAGGGAATTTTGATACCTAAAAGTCAATTTCATATAAAATGTGGTTCTAAGATATTGCCATTAATGTTTTATAAAATAAATTGAATATACTTTTTACTTATGCAATGTAGAGTGTTTACATAAACTATGTAAAAACCAAAAAGCAAATATTGTTGAAAATAATGCTGAACTGTTAAGATTATTTAAAGAAATTCCTGTTGGTTTAACTGATAAAGTAACATATGCTGTTATGCCTGTTTTAAAAGTGTCTACTTATTTAAGGGATAATGTTATAATGATTTTGAGAAAAGAGCTAATGTCTAAGTAAGTTATTTGAAAAATGATAAAGTATATTTTAATCTTAACAACTATATTTCATTTGGATGTTATATTTTCAAGAGATTTTCAGTTAAGACATAGTGCTGTTTCTGGTTTTATTGAAATATTATGTAGTGTTCGGCTAAATGATATAACAGCTTTTAGTCAAAGTACAAATAATACTCAAGACTCATGGCCAGGTCTTTTTACTCAGGTTTTTAAATTAATATTTATCATTAGGGTGTGGAATTATATTCATTTATAAGTTTTGTTTAAGCTACTCTAAAGGGTCTCAAGTATATGCAACTCTTTCATAGGGTTTTATTGTAGTGTAAAAATATTTTATTGTTTAGGGAAGGATAACTCCCTAATCTCCCCAAAACTGTAAATTGATAACAACATATTACTAAATTTTAAATTCAATTAATACAAATTTGTATTACTGATAATGTGTTCAGAATAAATTAACAAAATTTATAAATGCATATAATTCCTCTCTCTATTTGTCATGTTATATTTTGTTATAATTAATAGGGGTAAACTGATATGAATTTTTTTCAATATCAATAAACTAATATTTCTTATTAAAATCAAAAGAAGTTTATTACCTGAGGTCTCATTCTTGAAACAATAATAAATTTTAATGCGTTGTAGATTTTTTAGAAAAATATTGGGATTAATATTGTTGTTCAAAGAAAATTGATAATTGATTTTCCAATGTGGTCAATATTAGTTTACCAATGCTAACCTCTAATAATTATTATTAGAGGTATGCGAATCCTATTTATTAAAATTTTGTATACATGACAAAGTTTTACTTTTAAATATAATAATATTAAATATATCATTTTAAAACAGATGGTTCTAGATCGGAATTCTGTTGATATTTATTCATCTAACAACTGTGGTCTTGAAGACTCATCTGATAACAATAAAGCAATTTGTTTAGAAATTTTAGATATTCTTAAAACTTGTTTTTTCCAAAAAGCTGAAATAAAACGTACATTATATAGAGGTTTAATAAAAGTGACATGCCATAATGAAGAATTATGTGTCTGTGTTACTAGCTTGTTGTTGGATCATTTGAGCTCTTGGTGTATTAAAGTCCAGAATAAAAGATCATTGAAATTTGACAAAGCAATAACAGTTGGTAAAGATGGAAAGTTATTAATTCATGTTAGTTTAATAAGAAGTAATTATAATATCATATAATGTATATATTATTATTCTGGTATTAGGAACCATTAGATGAATTAATTATCTTAGCTCAACATTTATTAATGAAAAATACTTCATTTGAAAATAATGATGCTCATATAAATAGTGAAACATTAAACAATTTACTGAATCAATTGGTTGAGTTTTATTGTGATTGCAATACTGATGAAATTAAAGTGGTAAATATTTAATTTTTTTTTATTCAAAAAGAAAAAGAACAACTGTCTGTCAAATATTTACAATTAAATTTTTTTTAGAATGATAATGACAGTCTGCTGGATATAATAAGTAATATTGCGGAATATGCTGATATTATCAAACAAGTTTTGTGTGTCTATCAATCATTAATTGCGTATATAATAAACTCATGGATCAGACAAGATCAAGATAAAGAATATTCTGAAAAATTACAAAAATTATTTTCAAAATACAATCATATTTTAGATGCTATTAAGGTTTTTTTCTTCAAACATATTTATTAATTAGTTATTATTAAATAGTTATATATTTATTTTTTCACAGGCTTGTGATAAAACAAATAAAAAAAAAGACAATAAGGGAAACAAAAAAATTAAAAGTGAAACAACTACTGATTCCAAATCTCAAAAATTTATAGAACCAATTATACATTTAGATTTTGATGTGTTGTATAAATTTTTGTCTTTACTTTCGTAAGAAATAAATGTACAACATAGTTCAGAAATATCTAATTATGAAAATTTATTTTAGTACTAATACTAGTTGGTCATCTCAGCAAACTGTTACATTATTGAAACAAAATGGTAAACTTTGGGAATTTGTTTTAAAACTTGTATTGAATCATGTTTTTGAAATGAAACAATTACTTTCTCAGGATATTAAACCAAGAAACCTTTATGAAAATTTATGTAAACTAACCAGGCAAGAAATATATTTCTTAGATATTATTAATGGTATCATTTATAATTAATTAAATTTTTAGATTACTGTACAATTATTTTCTATTTGATTTACGTGAAAAAATTAGACTTAATCAGTGTACTGTTGAATTAGGTATAGAATGTTACTTACAGATAATTACACTCGTTAATTTTTATTACAAAAAATTGAATACATTTTTCAAAGATTCTAGTAAGAAATAATAATTTTTAATGATTGTATAGTATCTATAAAAATGTTTGATACTTAGACAAAGATGATACTGTTGATTCAAGTGAAGATCAATCAGAACTTTTTAATGTGTTGCGTAATATAAGGTCTCATTTAGATACTGTGTTAGAAGTTAATCAGTTAGATTCATCAATAAATGGAGATAATGAAGAAGATGCCAATGATTCATTAGATAAAATTGAAAGTTATTTAATTAAATGTATAGCTATCATCTGCCATGCTATTGATAGTAATAATCAAAAAGTTAAAAATGTATGTAATGTTTCTCAAAATATTATTCAATATTAAATTTAATTAATTATTTGTTAATCATTATTATTATTATTTTTTATTTTTCGAGGCATGTGAAAAATAATTATAAATCATTTTTTAATTTTTAGATATTAGTTTGGCTGTCTACCATAATTGAAAAATATTCATTTTCAAACACTCCTAATGCAAAAGATTTTTTAACACTTACAATTGAATTGCATTCTGCTTACCAAGAAGATCCAATAATGCTAGCTGACATAATTAAGTATTTATGTAATTCATTTGGTCGAATCAATAAAGTAAGAAAACATTGATTACAATAATATGTAGTAAAATAATTATTTTATGTAATTTCTCATCCTTGTCTGTAGTCTCAAAAAACTAATGAATCTCAGATGAAATTTTTAAGAATCATCACTGAATATAATAAAACTACTTTGTGTTCAGTTTTATGCCAGTGCTTATGTAATGAATTGAATCATGTATTAACATGTCTGTCCAGAATTAAAGCAGAATTATGTGCTTCATTAAAAAATATTAAGAGTGTTTGTCAAGACCGAATAAAAGCTAGAGAAAAAGCAGTATGTCACCGAATAATACTAGTTATATTGGCAGCTAATACTTTTACAAAAACTAATATACCTCTTGGTCAGTGTACTGAATCAGTCTTTATATTATTACATCAAGTTTTCAAGACAGTTAATATAGTTATTAAACATTTTCATATGCGTTCTTCATTTCATGAGCCTATTTATAAACAAGCTTTGTTGAGTATTTAATTTGGTTTTTATTATTTTTTTATGGACATTTAAGAATTTAAATTATCATTTTCTTTCAGACTAGAAAAGTTATCACAAATAATCAATGAATTATTTGCTCCAAATGTTTCAAAATTCATTATGTATGTTGAGGTTCGTATTATGATTTTAATCAAAATACATTTAACTAACTTAAATTAAAAATTTTTTATAGCATGATAGACCATTAACAGAAAAAGAAAAAAAATCAAATCAACTAAAACAACAAACAAAACGTCAGGCTAGTTACATTCCTAAGGTAGTAACTGAACTTGAACTTTTTATCAACTTAATCACTAAACTAGGGAAAAAATGCAAAGTATGTATGTTTTCTAATAAATGAATTGTATATAATTCTTACCTTTGTATAAATAATTTTAGGACAAAAATTTAATAAATATTAAATTAACATCAAGCAGGGATTTTAGACTCAATATACAAAAAGCTCAAGAAGTTCTCAGCAAACAAGATAATTCAGAAGTGAGCTATATAAATATTTTTTTCAACCTTTAATTCCATCTTCAAATAATTGAACTAAATACAAATAAAAGCATTTAATATTAGTGTTTTAATAGAAAAAATTTTATTTTCTAGGAAAGTGAAGAAGAGACAGATGAAATTAATCAAAATATTTCTCACCACCCTGATAATAGCGAACAACCTCCCCAAAAAAAACGAAAGTCTACCACAAATACTTCAATGTCTATTGGCTCACCTGTTTATTAGGTATTTTTACAGAGTTATTTTACCCTTTTCAACAAGACATTGAATAAATATAATTGAATTGTTAAAAAGATTATTTTAATAATATAATATAATATCAATGATAGTTTAATTTTTTTTTTACACAGTTTTTTCCATAATATAATTATTTATTTTTCTTGTTATGTGACAATCAAATTATTTCAAGTCAATTTGAATCATTTTCGATAGAAAAAATTAAATTTATTTTTCAATGTGTTTTTCTTTAAGAATTTTTACCAATACCTTTAATAAAAATGCTATGTCTAGTTTATTCAACTTTAAGTTATTGGATATTATGTTATAAATATCTAAATTAAAAAATGAATAACATCACTTTAATATATTAATATAGTTGTATTTTTTGCTTGTTATTATAATTATTTTTTATACAATTAATAATTTTCACACTCATAAAAAATTAAGCTAGGTAAAAAATTACATTTTATGAGTAAAAGTCATATTTTTACTTATAATATTTTTATGTCATTTAAAGAATTAGTACAAAATAAATTTAGATAATACAACAGTATTTTCTCCAAAAACTAAATCAAAATTATTTTATCATATTTAATTGACTTTTAAACCTCAATCATATTATGTCTTGCTGTAAAATTGTCAATTTGTTTGAAGTTTTAGCTATTTAAACCCATGTGTGTATTAAGTACTGACAAAAATTTAAAATAAAATAAATTGATCTAACCTTTACCTTGGCATATTCATAATAACACCATTAAAATTATTAAAGTATATTTTCTAAAATATAAATGTTACTAAAATTCAAATTTTCGAAAAAAGTTTTTTTAAATATAAAATGGAAATAAAAGTTGATACCTATAAGATATGATACTAAAACATATAGCATCATTATTATATCTTCTGGTATTTGTTGACAAGAGGTTATCAAAGTCACCAGATATAAAATTTTACTTATAATAAAAAAAATTTTTGTTTATTTTAACATTAAAAATTAACTAATTGATAATTTCGAGCCATAAAGTTCAAAAATAACTTAATATGTACTTTTTTCTTTGAGAATTGAACATTAATTTAGAAGTTTTTATCATTATTTTAATAATGTATAATAAAATTTAAATTTTTCAGGTCTTATTAAAAATCAAATCACTGTGAGATTTTTTTTTTACATATAAACTTTAAAATAAGAACATATTAAATTTTATATCGAATGTACAAAAACAGTAAAATCTTTTAGGTTTAACTCTAATCATTTTTATAAAGGTGATTATAGCATTGTATATCATTTGATATACACAAAAATATGTATAATTCTTGTTAGAGATGATAAAAAGGTTTTGTTCGTATTTTTCTTGTTTAAAAAATACATGTTGATGGCGGAAAAACGCATAAAACGTTTAATTTTAGATATTTTAGTACCAACATTTTTTTAATTATATTATGTAATTAGTTATTGCTTTAAGACATCATCATATGAGGAGTGAGAAATGAATTTCAGTTTTAGAATATAACAGAAAAATCCACTCGTGATGTTCACTAATTATAGAAAATATTTCCTAAACTATAACTTTATTATATAAAAATTTGCTATCGCGACAATTAAGATAATTTTTATTCTTAACCTGTCATATGAGCGTAGTTAACACTTTTTTTTAGCTTCGATGTGAAGCTGAGAAGGTTTAATTTTACCATGATGTGTTTTTTTTGTGTGTGTCTATTGCCACTTTCTTAAAGCTCTCACTGGACAGATTTTGATGAACAATATATCAAAAAATCATAAATTGTATCTAGTTGAAGACATTACCATTAAAAATTGAAAAAATTACCCTCGTTCCCCGTAAATGGCGGAAATTTCAAAAAAAAAATTACAATTTAAAAAATCGGTAAATTTTGTCATTTTTTTCACTTATTTTTCTTAAAACTACCATAACTTTATCAAAAATGAACAAATCAACATATTTTTTTTTTATATTAAAACCTAAGATACTTCCTATTCATTTGATATCATTTTTTTGAAAAAAAAAAGGAAGGATTTAAAATAGCAACTTTTTTACAAAAACTAACTTTTTCAACTTAATTTTTAAAATGTTCCGGAAATACTTCGAACTTTAAATATATGTCAAATTAAAGCTAATATTAAATACTATAAATTAAAAAATTATATTCTACGTGCAAATGGCTGCCGTAGATAAAATCCTGCTATTTTTTTTGTTAAAATTTTCGATAATCGATTTTATATTAATTGTCATTTTTGACAAAAGTAAACAAGACTTTTTTTTTTGTTTGTTTGTTTAAATAGGATAAACAATGATGTTTCAATCGGCACTGTTTGGTGATGTTTTGCTTAAAATTTTTTTGTGATAAATTAGTACACATATATTTAAAACTCTTAAATCTAACTTTTTTCTCTTAGTATAACTTAAAAATTTCAAGTTTTGAGTGCATACATTTATAAATAAAATGGATTCGAATTTTTTTTTCGTGATAACGACGTTGGTCATATATTTCATAATTCCGATTCAAATAGTCAGAGATATTATGTTCATTGCACTGGTAGATGTGTCGCTGCAGAATTTTTTGGATATGACACTCAAAGAAGAAAAAAACTTTAAATAAAATAGTTAAAGTAAAGTTTAAATGTAGAGAGAGGAATCGGAAGTTGTAAAAACAGTTATATAAATGAATGTTGAAGGAAGAAGAGGTAGAGGAAAACCAATAATAAGATAGAAGAATGTTATTGAATGTGATATGAGGACGACTGATGTAAACGTATATGATGTGGGAGATCGGGTCTGTAGAAGTTCGGGATAATGGTGGCCGAACCCAAGTAGTTTGAATTAAGGCAAAAAAAAAGAAGACTAAGAATTATATTTAAAAATTTTAAGTCGATTTTTTACTTTCCCTTACATTACCGGGTAATAAAAAATGATTTTAAGAGATTTTAGCCTAAAAATTAATTTTAAATGAAATAAACTTTTTTTTATACTAGTTACGCTAAAAAAAAAATTTAACTAAGCTAGTTAAATTTATAATTTGTTAACTTTTAACTGTTAATTTATCGACATTGATCATACTTAACATAACTTAACTTGAGTTAATTATTTCAATTAACTTGCCCATCTTTGGCGTAGTTCAAAAAAATGCTTTTTTTTTTTTGTTAAAATTTTCAACTTTAAATTGCTATAACTTTTTGAAAAATGTATAGATCAACACAAATTTTTTCCTAAATACATTATATATACTCCTTTCATCGGGTATACTTTTTATTTAAATTGAACAATTTCCCATTATACAGGGGTAGTTCAAAAATTGAACATTCGTATAAAATGTAGAACTTTTTCAACTTAACTTTTGAAAATGTTCCGGAAATACTGAGTCCTTTAAATATATGTCAAATTAAATCTTAAAATAAATACTATAAAAAAAAAATTTGTACCGACACCTTTTCTTCTATGGGAAAATGGCCGTGAAATATTTTAATACTTATAACTGCCATAACTTTTTGAGAAATTAACAAATTAATTTTTTTATATTAAAACCTTAGATATTTTTCTTTCATTTGATAAAAATTTTTTGAAAATCTGACTATAAACCTGCCCACGGGAGGGATTCAAGAAAGCAATTTTTGCACACAAGTTAAACTTTTTCTATTTAATATTTAAAAATGTTCCGGAAATATTGACATTTTTATTTAATCTTAAATTAAAGCGTATATTATATACTTAACTATGAAATAAAAAATTCAGATTTTGATTTTCTTCTTGTTGAAGATGGCTATTTTTGTGTAAATTTATTTAACAGATTTATTTAATCTGATAAATTTACTATAAATAGTAATTATAATATTTCCTGACTGCATATTAATCTTTACAATACCATTTTTTTCTATTTAATGATGTCAATTTCAAACTTGCAAGTTAAACTAATAGTTATGGTAATAAATTCATTTTTTTTTTTCATAAACTTTAACTTTAGAGGACAAAAAAAAAATAGATTAAAAATGATTTCTTTTAACATATTAAAAATCAAAATCAATAATAATTTGAAAACAATTAATTATAAAAATTATATATTACATTTTAAAATCTAAGAATTACTAACCAGGATATAATTAAAAAAATAAGAGTGATGTTGCTTTTGCTTTTGTAATTATCTACCAATTTCTTAGAATTAAACAATATCTACAGGTTTCCATCGAAGCGTTTTTTATGATAGTGATTTTAATCACTGTCAGATATAATCTATACTTGTCCCAACTATGCCACATCCATACTGTGCCACGACCCCACTGTGCTACTGATTTTTTTAATTTGGTAAGACATTACAATAGAAGAAAAAAAAACGAGGTTACTATGCTTTTTAAAGACGTTGGTACTCCGTGCTTAATACACATTTTGTTTCTTGCAATCATAGATGTCACGTAAAAGAGCTAGGGGTACTTATGCCTCCAAGAAATATAGCAAAATTATATGCATTGTTATATAGAAATTATTTTTTGGAGGGAGGAATTAAATGTAGCTTGCCCCCTACAAAAAAAATCATTTATAACATTGTTATAAAAAATAAATAGCATAACATAAGTTATAACATTTTTTATAACTTTTACATTTAAAAATTTTCATGTGAGTACTTCACGTGGTAGTGCAAGTATATCGTTTGTGATAAGATAAGATACACTTAATGAAATTTAGTTAAGAAGGTCAACCGATAAGTAATGTATTTAGAAACACAACTATTCATAATTTTTAACGGCGTATCACCTTGTCAGTAACCACCACCAATGTGTTTTCAAGCTGTTACCGCCTGTGACAACTAACGTAAGCCCGTAGCGGTAGTTTACCGGTATTGGTCCAGTCGCTGGTGTGTTGTCTGTAGTCGAGGGAATACGACCGATTCGTCCTAATAATTTTATTCCATTTTTGAAAAATCATTTTTTTAATCATTTATACTATCATGGACGTTTTGAAGAAAGGATGGTTTAGTGAACTGACTGAGTTGTTGCCCGGAAGATGTTTTTCAATGGAGGTCGAACAAATTCTTCACCAAGAAAAGTCCAAATATCAAGACATATTAGTATTAAAAACGTAAGTTCATTATTGATTATTCTATTTACGTAGAATAAAAATTAAGTAATAACTAATATATGTATTAATTTTATACGGTATCATGGATATCACGTTCTGGAATAATTATTTCTAACACATAAGAATATTTCAGTATCAGTACAAATGTGACTGAAGTATAAACAATTTATTATAATTGCTTAATAAAAAATAAAATATTAAATACAATGAAACTACGCATGTATTATTTTTTATAATACTTAAGTAGATGCTTAGTCATAAAAAATAATTTTTTAGCGACCTGTTACAATAATTATAAGTAATTATATTGAATATTATTTTTTTCTTAGTGAATATTATATCATTTAAATTTACACTTATTCAATAAAATAATAACGCACAAATGTATGCATCTAAAGCCTTTACTAATATCATTATAGACGCAAATAGAATACAATTTTTGGCGGTGTTAAATTAATTTTTAACGCACCCTAAAATTTTTTAATCTAACAATCTATATAATTTTCTAAATTTAGTTGCTCCAATGAGTGTCATAGTTATAAAACTGTTTATAGCTAATCTTTAAAATTAATATATTTTTTGTACTTAATATTGCTACTTGAATTATAATCTAATGGTTTTTTATTTGTTATAATAAAGTACTTTGAAGTGTTACAAACACAATTATACTTTGACTTCAATAAAAGTTTAATAACATAAATCTTTACACACAGACCCCAAAAAAAAATGATTGATTATCAATTATATTTTGTAAAATATATGAATTTATGTTTTTTAGAAAGTCGCATGGAAATGTATTGGTACTCGACGGAATGATTCAGTGTACAGAATTTGACGAATTCGCGTACCAAGAAATGATATCGTTTTTACCCTTATGTAGTCACCCAAAACCACAAAGGGTATGTCAAATTAATTAAATCATAATTTTATCAAATTTAAAACAATTTTATTGTCAAATTGAATAAACACTAAAATATATAATTGCATAAAATAAATAATCTTTATAATAACATACCACAAAGAGTACCCTCAAATGATTTGTAAAGTAAAATTCTACAGGTACTTATCGTAGGCGGCGGTGATGGTGGTGTAGCTCGAGAAGTGTCTAAACACCCTTTGGTCGAAACTATTGACCAGGTGGAAATTGACGATAAAGTAGTTGAAGTGTCAAAAAAATATTTGCCTTTCATGGCAATCGGATTTGACAGTCCGAAGCTTAACCTCCATATTGCTGATGGGTTTAAGTTTATGAAAGAACATGAAGCATACTATGATGTCATAATAACAGATTCTTCAGATCCAATTGGTGAGTGACATACGATGAGGTGCTAAAATACAATTATAGTAATCTAATGATAAAATTTACATTCAAATTAAAATACTTTAATCATGAAAAAATCCTTTATAATTTCCTTCAATATTGTAATGATTCCGAGATAATGTTACCGTACATTAAAAAAAATTGAAAAGTTCTAATTTGTTTTCTATTAATAACAATTTCAAATAGAATAATACCAGTGAAACGTAGTTAAAAGGAATTATGTTTTAATTTTATGGTTTATAGAATGTGAACAAATTATATAAATCAATTAAAAATGAAACGACAATTATATTCCACGTTTTATTACATATTAAAGGTCCTGCCGTTTCACTTTTTCAAAAATCTTACTTTGAACTAATGAAAAAAGCATTGAGACCTGGTGGTATAGTTTGTTCTCAAGCAGATACGTTCTGGGGACACTTGAAAAATGCCTCTTCTATGCGGAGACACTGCAAAGACGTTTTTTTGAAAGCAGCATATGCTACTTCTTTTGTTTCCACTTACCCAGCTGGACAGATTGGTTACGCATTGGGCAGTCTAAATGAGGTATGATACTTAAAAATGATATAGGTTGTAAACTTGCGTATATAAAACATTCTTGACAATATCAGTTTATTAGTTAATGGCTAAAAATAAAGTAGATTTAATAAATTATAAATTATCTTTATAGTAATTAATTTACTTATACAGAATACTGATTTCAAAAATCCAGTATTTCAATTAACTGACCAACTACGAAAAGAAATGAAATTGCGGTATTATACAACAGAAATTCATAGAGCAGCGTTTGCCTTGCCTGCTTTCGTAGTTGATGCCATAGAAGAAGACGACAAAACTTGTTAACAAAGTAATTGTGAATTTTAAAAGTTTTATTGGTATACAATTAATTGTATCAGTAAAATTAAACATTTCATATATTTTATTTAAAAATGTTACCATCTTGTTCTTAAAATAATTACAATGATATATATTTATTTTAATAATATTGATTATATCTTTTTATTATTTAAAATTATATATTTTTAACTCTTATACTCTTTTAAATCATTTTTTTTTTTTGCAAGAGAGGGTCGTATTAATTGGTATATCTTAAATATATTATATAAGTATTATTACAAAGTATTATAAATTGTTGATAATTTTTTTAATAAATTAATATTTCAAAATTTAATTAACATAAAATTATAGAATTTTTAACTTCGATACAAAGATGAAAACATAATATTCATATAACTTCTCATTTTTTCTTATAGGACAATAGTTATCTTATAAGAAATAATGAACTCTTGGTCATTAATTAATCGTATATAGTGGCGTATAATAAACACCATTAATCGAAATAAATAGTAATACAAATAAACCAGAATTTTACTTGTGCTATACAAACAGAAGCAATATTTTGGATTTGACGACAGGTGAACTTTTGATTTGTAAACTTAATCATGCCTACTAAAAATATTCCTAAATAAACGTTTATTTGTATTAATATTTATTTTGATTAATGGCGTTTGCTATACGCCACTATATACGATTAATTTATAGCCAAGAGTTCATTTATAGTTGATTAATAAAGTAAAAAACGGCAGTACAAGAGAGTCGCGCACAGTGTGGACGTGGCATAGTTGGGACAAGTATAGATATCTGACAATGAATAAAATCGCTATCATAAGAAACGCTTCGATGCAAATCTGTTGATAATGTTTAATTTTAAGAAATTGGTGGATTATACTAAAAGCAAAATAAATTCCTTTTTCCTTCGTTATTCCTGATTAGTAGTTCTTTGATTTAGAAGTATAATATATAAATAAATATCTATTATAGAAATTAAATACACTACAAAATTGATATTTAATAATTTAATGTAGTATTTTTTACGAAAAAATTATAAAGTAGTTGTTACTTTTACGGCAAATATGAATAAAAATTGAAGGGCTGATACACAACTTTTCAGAAAATAATTTGTTGTTAATTATGAATAAATAGTCTGCAAGGAACTTACGCCAGAATCAAAAATATACTTTTATTGATCAATTTTTCATGCTGATTTCAAATCTACAATTAATTTTTTTCTATCACCACCAATTTTTGTTATTAATACAAATTAGTTAAAAACTATAGGATATAAATATATGAAATATAGTTAGTAGGGTAAAATAGAGAGTTCTGGTTCCCCCCCGCTTCACCCACCCACCCTACCACCGTTGTATATGGGAAGAGGGGTGGAGGGGGAGTAAATCCAACGTAAACTAACATAATGCAATGGGAGGGGGAACGATGATGTAACCCAACGTAAACTAACCTAAGAAGAACCTCCTCTGACAAGTCTTAGGGTGGGGGAAGTAAATCCAACGTAAACTAACCTAAGTCAGGTGAGGAACCTCTCCTCCTCTGACAAGTCTNAAACAAAACCATTTCTTAAATCTTCATAATATTTTATTTTTATTATATTTATATTTGTCTAAAATTTTTAAATTGAAGTATTGTTTCCAATATTTGATAACTATTAGTTCAACTAGATTAAAATCGGTTCATTTGACGTATTGATCATCAAAATTGGCTTAGGATAGCTGAGAATTTTTATAGATGGACATAAAAAAACGCACAGAATTACGAGACCAATAACTTCTTAGTTTCGCATCGAAACTAAAAAAATAAACAATCAATAAATTATTAAAAAAATTTACACAATATAAAAAATAATTATAATTGTAAAAATCCATTGTTAAATTTATATGAAACCCAATATCATTATTTTAAAAGAGATTTATACAGTAACATGTTACCAAAAAAATTGAAATATTGTATATATATATAAATAAATATATATATAGCGGAACACATAAATATAGTAAAAAAATTAATAAATAACAAAGTAATAACAGATTCTTCGGATCCAATTGATGAGTGACATAAGATGGAGTGTTAAAATACAATTACAGTAATCTAATAATAAACTTTACATTTAAACTATATAGATAAATTTATTTGGTTAAGAAATTTTTAATTGATAAAAGGGAAAAATTGGTTATGCGATAGCTGAAAAAATGAATGATAGACACAAAAAAAAAATAGTAAAAAATGTGCAATATTAGTAAGAAATTCCTTGTCACAAGGAGAAACTCTGAGAATGGGGTCCCAGATATTCATTAAAGTTGTTCAATCTAATAGGAAAAAACAAACGAATTTTAAATTGTTTTCTATATTAAAAAGAATTTAGGAAAAAATGCAAAAATATAATTTACAATATAAAATTTGACAGATATTTTTTTGATTTAAAAGTATATTACATAAGTTTAAGATATATATAAAAGTGTCAGTATTTCCAGAACATTTTCAAAAATTAAGTTGAATAAGTTGTAGTTTCTATTCGCGTGTTTAAAGTTTTAACCCCCTAGTAAAAAGAAAAGTGGTCTGGTTCAAAAATAAAGTTAGTCTAATAAAGTATAAAAATATAAAATCGAGAACTTTTTCACAAAAATTTTAATTTTGATGTCCGTTTTCATCACAATGATAAGTTCAGAGGTAAATTTTTTTTTTCAAAATTATTTATTTTACATAAGCCATAATTTAAGTTATACATAAAACTGTCAGTATGTCCGAAACATTTTTAAAAGTTAATTTTTTTTTGGAAAAATTACCATTTTGAAATTTCAACTTTGGACAGGTAAAGGGTCACATTTTTACAAAAAATATACCAAATAGTAGGTAAATATCTAAGATATCTATAAAAAAAAAATGTTGATTTATTCATTATTATTTATGGTATTCAAATTTATGGTAGTTTTACGAAAAAAAAGTTGAAAATTAACGATTTTTTAAATTGTAATTTTTTGGAAATATTCCCTGTTTACAGGGAACGGTGGAAATTATTTCAATTTTTGAGGATGTCTTCGATTAGACAAAAATATGAATACATTTTTTTTCAAATTCAAATTATCAATAGAAAATTGGTCAAAAATCGCTAAATTTAAAAAAGCAATAACAGACTAATGGTGTATGGAATAAAAATATTATAAGAAAAAAAATTTTTTTCTACTGTGTCATTAAACTAATTATAGGGGTTCCCTTTAAAGAAAATAGAGTGTAGGGCTTTTATACTTTAAGGAATAAAAAAAAATATTAACTAAATATCATTGTAAAGATTTTATCAAATGTTATTTTTCTCTACGAAAATTTAAAGTTGAATAATTTGAAATAAAATTAGTATTTACCCTAAATGAACCACTCGGTATATTGTTGAGATTAGATTATTGTGCTTTGATATAGTATTTAACTTATGTAAAATCTTTCATGGAAAGTGTATTAAATTTCTACTTATATTAAATAAGAGTTCAAAATATATTATTATTTACTAGGATGCCAATTAGTATGGCACTGAATATTATGTTTATTTGATCATTTTAAATGTAGTCCGATAAATTTATTATCTTAAAACCATTGTTGATTTTACAATTGATTGCTACAAGGCGTTTTATCATTATAAATAAGTTTAATAATGTTATAATTTTTTTCGAGTGTCTTTCACGATATAAGATATTATCAATAGTTGAAATTAAAGCTGGTAGTATGGATAAATATCTAATTATTCAATAACTAGAGTTCCCCTCAGACCTGGGGCCCTACGAGCCTTTGTCACGTAAGCTTCTTTGGGCCATCTTCGTAAGCAGGCCACTGATTCCGGTAGGAATACTTGGCTACGCCGGGCACGAAAAGTGTTTTGCAAAAAAAAAAATCCCTTGATCAAATAAAAAGTAGCTTAACCAGCTTTGTCCATATAAAAAAATTAAATCATTCATTACTAATATTTTTAATGTATTTAATGTCGAATTAGATTTGATATTTTAAAAGTATTCAACTACAAAAGTAAATAATTTTACTTTGTAATTTATTAATTTTTTAGCTCTATTTGTGTGTGTTACTAATAGTCTATGGAATTTCAAATTTTTGTAAAATTATAGACTGTTAGTATTCTAATTTTTTTGGTAACATGCTGCTATATAAATTAGTGATGGGCATTTTCGAATATTTTAAACTAATAATGTTATCATTTTTTTCAAATTGCTTTCATGATATGAGATATTATCAATAGTTATCAGTTAGGTATTGACATTAAAGCCGGGAGTTTGGCCCAATAGATAGTTGTTCAATAATAGTTATTCAATAATAATTATAAAATTTAAATTCTTATAAAATATTTGTTTTCTATATTATTAATAATTATAAAGATATAAGATTACTTGTTTTACAAAAAAATGTTCAGTAAGTATTTATTTAGTTTTCATGTTAAACAGAAAACGTTATTATTCATTTTATTGTTAATCGCAGAATTCGGTAATTTATTTCGATCACTACCATCAGTCACCTCTATTGTACCTGTTCGATTCCGTGCTCGTAAAGGTACTAGAGAAAGGAAAGCTAAAATACATCAAAAGAATAAAGCTGCTAATTTAGCTAAAGCAAGAAAAACTATGACTTTATTAAAAAAAAAGTGAGATATGTTGATTACATGTTATTCATTAAATATATAATTTGGTATCCAAGAGTATATATTATATATGTATTATTTGTTTAACAGACAAATAGGAAAATCCAGCCGTACCATAGAAAAATTCCATTGGCGAGTACCTACTGATGATGTTTATAATGGAATATTTTATCAATTACGACGGTATAATATATACATTCTATTTTATTTTTTCTAATAAGGTATCAACTATCATATTATTTATGATAAATCATTTTTTAGGTATAATCTTGTAGATGCTATTCTAGCCCATCGTGAACTTCATCATCCAACACAAATGAATTTACCAAATGCATCTTTAAATATTCGCTTAGAATTAGATTTATCTACTGATAAAAAAAATAAATTTGTTAGTAAATACAGCCAAATAATTGAGATGCCTTACCCTTATGATCATGGTGAAGATAGAACTATTCTTGCTTTTTGTCAAACTGAGAAAATGATGGATGAAGCTAGAAGTGCTGGTGCTATGCTAGTTGGTGGAAAAGATATTATTAAGCAAATAGAGGTAAGTGTAGTTTATAAATAAATTATATGTAGTTCAAATGTTATAACGGACATTTAGTTCTAGTTTTTAAAAGATTTTGTACTAATTTCAATATTAAAAATTTTATATTTATTAATTGTGTAAAATTTGAAGTCATATTTCTATATTAATCATGTCTATAATGTTTTGATTAAGCATTATTTTTTATAATACGTATAATATAAACCTTTTAATGAGTTTTTATAAGTTTCATGCCTTTATTATATTGTTTTATAATGTTAGTTATAATTGTTCAATCATTTTATAGAGAGGACTTATAATGTTACCTGATTTCCAATATGTCCTAGCTCATCCTGATATATTGACTGAATTAACTGCTATCCGAGGATTATTAAGGAGACGTTATCCGACTCTTCAAAATGGTTTGTAATAGATATTTATTCTACCAACTTGTAATGATCCATTGAAGTATACTTAATTTAATAGTTTCTATAATAACACTTTTATATTCAGGGATAATACTTTCACTTACCATATTTCCATAATATGGTAATTAACTGTATATATTACATTAACTATATATTGTAATATATAAAATTGTAATAGTATTTATTAGTATATTATTTTATGTTATTTACTAGCATTAATATATAAAATTTGATTGTTAAAAATTTCAGTTCAAGTTTAACATAAGATATTTTTGTAGATTAACTATTTAATTGAATTAATAATTGAAACTATTAAAAATAAACATAATGTAGGGTATCAGTAACAGTCAACAGTTCCCAGATTTTGGCAATTTTTATATATGTTATAGAGTCACTTTTAAGCTTGAAAAAGTAGGTTTTTTTTTCATATTAACTATCATAATATGTTAAAAATATTGATTAAAAATTTAATAAATGATTTATTAAATATTAAACTGATGGAAAGTAATGGAAAACATTTGCAAAATTGTTATATATTTAAATAATCATTATTATGAATTGATCTTTCAGGTGCATTAACACTTAATTTGATATCCATGATTAAACTTTACATGAAAGGTGTCAGATATAATATGACAGTTGATCCATATGATGAATCATTAGGAGTTGTAGAAATGAAAATTGGCCAAGTATAATATTATATAAAATGTGTGTTATTAAAAATGACTTTTTTTGTACCAAGATTTCAGATGAGACTGATCATTTAGTAGAAAACTTAAAAACATTGTTTAGAGACGTAATAACAAGAGCTCCTAAGAAAAATGAATCATCTCCCTTCATAACAAGGTACAATAATTTATATTCTTTGCATTGTATTGTGAATAAATAAAGAAACTTCAAATTAATTTTAAATTTGATAGGTGTTTAGCACAAACACCGTCTTCAAGAGAGAAATTTAACATAGACTTATCCCCATACTCAAATTCTCACGAAGAAGAAGATTCTGAATCTGATTCAGATGAAGAAGAAGAAATAAAAAAAACACAAAGAGCTTAAAATAAAAAATTGTTAAAACTTTAGTATTTTGTTAAGTGTGAAAAATATTTAATAAAAAAATGTCTAGATATAGTTATCATTTTTATATGTGTGTATATTTGCATTTACGTGAACCTTGAAAGTACCTAAACATTGTTTTTGGAACATGATCATATTGAGGCAATAAATAGCTTTACACATCCATCTCACCAAAGGGTGAGTGCCAGGTTTTTGAAAATTAATAACTTTTAGTAGTGTTCCACCTAAATATATGATCACAATCTCCAAAAACTCACTGTAGTCATTTTTAGTTCGATTTTTATTTAAAGTTATATTAGAGAACGACAAAATGTTATCTGTTACACTTAGTTATGGGTTTTTTTAGTTCTATATCACCTGAAAATACACAAAATTAATTTAAATAAATTTAAATTTATCGTTTGCAAAATTATCTCAAATATATGATGTTGACACGTAAAAAATAAAAATTGATCTGTTTAACTTTTGCACCAATAATATGCATTTAAAATACCACTATTAGATGATGTTATATCAAACACAAATGCTTGTACTTTTTTTAAAAGCTTCCAATACACAGAAATATCTCCTGTTTATGATTATATCAATCCCATTAACTTTTCCTCAAACCGCGAGACGTTGTTCGGTATTCGAAGTTGTATTATTTATTAGTAACCAAACAACAATTTTTATTACAAGTAAATTAGGAATTATTATTAAATCCAATTGGACTACCGAAAACCCTAAAAACTAGACTATTGATTTTTTTAACAAGGTTTGTCGTAGCTCACGTTCACTTTGCTGTATTTAATTTCGCATATTTTTTTATTCACTTACGATATAACCAATGCGACCTTTTCGTCTTTAAAAGATAAGAATTTTTCGTTTTTAATTAGGCTCATTTTATTCGAGTAAGCATTATCAAATAGATCGTTTAATAAATTTAAAAAATCAACCTAATTTTTTTTTTTTAGTTTTATTTTTTCTATGTTTATTTAATCCTTGCCAAATTTTGTTTAATGTTTATATTTATACTTAGTATATTTTAATAATCATGGATATGTAATTTTGGCTTATTCCTGAATAACAAACATTGATAGTGATCAATAATATATCTATAATGAAAATTTAATTTTAAGTTGCACATATTGTACATACATACACAATCCCTATTTGGAGATAATTTATTACCAGTAGCTTCAATACACATATTACCTACAAGATATACAGAATGATTCACTTACCACGATCCACTTAATTAATTAAAATTAAATTAGTGCTAAAGTTTTTGTTATGTTCAGGCATTATCATAAGGGTACCAGCTTTAATTTGGCAACATCCCTAGTTAACTATTTAATAGTTGATGATCTAATTAAGAAAATTACTGGTTGTTGGCATATTTATATCTAGGTGAAAGAAAGAATATGATAGGAAATATTTAGTTAAATAACAGCACCCACTAATCACCTACATTTATAAAAAAAAAAAAAAATAATTAAAATATAATTTTACAATGATAAAGCAGATTACAGTTCAATAGGAGTTTATTATTTGAATTAGAATACTGTAAGTTTTTAACAAAATGCATTAAAAAATGTATATTTTTTTCATTATTTACAATTTTTAATGTCTAAGTATATNCAAAATGCATTAAAAAATATATATTTTTTTCATTATTTACAATTTTTAATGTCTAAGTATATTCTAAGTTTGTTTTACTACTGTGATGTAGATGATGTTTTTATATCATTTTTAAATAAAATACAAATTTACTGTATCGAGCAAATAAATTATTTGAATCTTCAAACACAGACGATAAATTATGTGCACTACTCATTTAAATATTAAAAATTACACATCATCAATTCAAGTAAAAAAACATCAGTATTATTAAATGTTTTATACTGAATTTTTCAATTTATTATTATTTTTGAAAAAATTACTATCAAATTATCAAAAAACGTAATATTCATTTATTATAGTATTTGTTAAGTCATGATGGATGGAAAAATTTGGATGATGTAAAATATGTCAAATACAGAAAAAATAACTTTACTTTAGTAGATGTAATAAAACAACCTATATTAAATTAAGAATATAATAGACGAATACACATTACAAAAATATTTCTTAGGTGTTCTTACGTCAATGTTTTAGTGACAATTTTATTTACTTTGGACAATTTTCTTAATCATTGTAGATTTATTGGGATTCAAGAAAATCCTCATGAATATGTATACTATTGTACCAATGAACTTATATATATTATACGAAGAATAATTTGGATGACGAACCTTATGCAAGGCGCATTGGATAGTATTGAAAAATATCACGGAAGTGTGTGGGGAACAAACTTGTGTAACAATTATATTTTAAATACGGTAATAACAAATTTAAGAAATGATGTACCTTTAAAAAAAATGTTGATTTCCAATAATTACTCAACAAACATTATCGGCCATTAAAGAGTTCTTTTTTAAAAGAAATAAAGAACTAAAAAAAGACTTAAGTAAATGCAATCTAAAGTCTACAGATTTGACAGTACTATGGAAGAGTTAGAATGAAGAATTTAATGAAATATTATCTGTAGGAAAAAAACCAAAGCTCTACGATTTTCTAAGCACAAAAATTAACTATATAGCTCAACAAACTATTCAAGAGAAGTACTTAAATCTAGGTTTTATCTACAATGAGGAAACTCAAGAGACAACTGTACCAACTCTTCCAGTAAATTTCGAACATAATATGAATATTTGTGTGCATTATATGTATTATTTAAAATAATAATTATTTATTCGTTCCATTTGTAATTTTTTAGGACTGAGCCAATATTAAAACTGATACTTAATATATTGGTCAATTAAATAGATTAAATATATCAGTATCATTTAAAATAATCATTCAATTTAATAAAATGGTACAATACTGTTTTAAGTTATATATAATGCTAGGTCGTATAACTCATTATCGATATTCGATATTTGAATTTCATTGAACTAGTAGGGGAGACTTGGGGAATTATGGTCAGTGGATAATACCGGTCACTACATTGTCTAATAAGTCCATGCATCTAAAATTATGTTGACCATATGTATAGATTAAGAATGATAAAAAAAATCTGATTCTTATTAGACCGATATCATCAATAAATGTTTTCACGTTTAAATGTGTGAAAAAAGTTTTCAGTGTTTATTTATCTAAAAAAAATTGTTTAAGAAATTTAATTTAAGGTAAGCAAATTATTATATATTTATAATTTATATGAACTATATTCCAGTGATTCTTTTTTAAATTATTTTATCCCTATCTTTTTACATGTATTAATGTATAGCCGATATTCCTCCGGGTAGGGGGAATACTGGTCATTTGCATTATTAAAAAATATAAATATTTATATATATATATAAAATTATGTTTTAAAAATCTGCGACTTTGACATAATACAGTCAATATGTTTGTCAATATGCATCCATTTGTTGTAATAGCATAATATTTAGAGTCTCAGAACCACAGATATAACAATTTTTGTGAGGTGACCGTAGTGCCTCCAGTCTCCCCTACCTCAGAAAAACTGTTTTGTTGTTCTGTAATATTACTAATAGTAATATTTGATTATTTAATTAGATTAAAATTTTATGTAAATAATGTAAGTAAAAGGAAAAATTTGAAAATGAAAATTTTAAAAATTATCTCTTTAAAATACTTTTAATAATTATTTTAATAAGCAGCTAATTCTTCAAATATTTTATTTGTATTATACTAATTTCAAAAATCCTATAACTGATGTATCTGTTATAGGTCAACATGTTGGCATTATAATAAATGAATCAGGTATCAATATTTACTTATTTAATTAATATACAATCTTAAATTAATTCAAATAATAAATCAAGTATAATATTATGTATTTATTTGTCAACATTTTTAATAAATTCTTTAAATGTATTAGACTTAAAATTGCCAGAGGAAAATAATGAAAAGGTAAATATTTTTTCAGTGTGCTGAATTATTTAAATGTTTATTTGAGCGCACGGTAGTACACCGAACCAAGTTCTAACAATACAGTTGCACTTTACAAGAAACAATCACCCGATTTTTCGAAACTACATATTTTGGTTTCTACTTAAGATATACTGTTGAAAATTTAAATATAAATAAAGATCTAGTAGCATAAAACGCTGTAAAAATATGATCTCTTAATGTTTAGTCATTTTAAAAATGGGAGCCTTTTAAAATTCACACTTTTGTTACTCACACATACATAAAACACTTCCCATATATGTAGAAACATGAACTTTGAGACAAAGGTAAGTCTTAAAGTGTAATTAAAGGTAAAAATCTAAACATTATTTTTTTTTTAAATATAATTCCACTTTATGGAATTTCTAAATGCAACCAAACCCAACGTTCAATGTATTTATAATTTTATATAATATTATAGTAGTATATACTACTAGTTTTGACCAGTATATTATATAATACACTAGTTAAAAATTTTAATGTTACTTTTGACGCTAAAGCAAACAAAGAAATAATATTCAAACAAAACGATAATAATGCAAAGTTTTATTTATATCTTGATAATTTCTTATGGGACGTTGTGTGATGCAGTGGACACTTCAGATGCTATCAAGATCANACGTTGTGTGATGTAGTGGACACTTCAGATGCTATCAAGATCAAATATTAAGTTTTGTTTGCCACTTTTAGATGTTAGAAGGGTTAACATATAACCATCATATCAAATTAGAGGACCCCTAAAATTATCTTTAATAATCAATTTTATCAACAGCTAATATTTTAAATGATTCATTTGTATTATAGAAATTTCGAAAAATCCTAAAAGCGATGCATCAATTGTAAGTCAACATATTGACTTCACAATTAATAAATCAGGTATCAATATTAACATATTTAATATACAATCTTAAAATTCACTTAAATTATAATTCAAGTATAATATAATTTTTGAATTATTTTAGTCTATTTAACCCTAAAAAAATACATCATTTTATTATTACCTAATAAATTATTTTTTCTTCTAATTATTAGGTCAATATTATATTTTATGATAACTGATTTTTAATTTTTATTCAGATGTAGAAGTTAATCCTGAAGTTGAAGATGGTTCACCTCAACTTTTAATAATCCCTGATCATTTGAAACAAATTAACATGTATCTTTGAATTTAGCACTACTTTACTAAGTTTTATTACAAAGAATATNAAAGATTATTTTAAAGAATTTAGCACTACTTTACTAAGTTTTATTACAAAGAATATTACAGTTATACTAATAAATATATTATAACATTAAAATTAACAATCCTATATTTCATAAAATATCTTCATTAATACAATAGAGCAATAAGAATCATTTTATTTTTATCAAACTATTTTTATATTGTGATAATTTTTTTTATATACATATATCTAAAAAAAGTTGGCAATATTTATTAATTAGTTGTAAGAAAAAGAGATGTAAAACCCACAAAATATTAAGTTTTATCTTTAAAATTATTAAGTAAAATTAAAACTATATTAAAAATATTATTAATTTAAAAAAGTAAAAAATATTAAAAATATTAAACTCAAAGCCACAAAAAATTAATGAAAAGTCGCGGATACGTATTTCGGAAACAATGTTACCATTATCAACGCTAAACACATACTGTTATAGCCACAAGTGATCAATTTTTATTATTTAAAATTATTAACTTAATATTACTTATTAAAAAGGACTGATATTTAACTCGTTAATTTGGCGTCTGAATAATCACATTATAATTAATGGACTTAAAACAATTGCTCTAATGATGAATTCTGCAATGAGTTCTAAATGTCAACATGTCAAAACTGAAGACATGGATATATCTGTAAATATTCGTATATATAAATAGTTGAGACAAGTAAAGATGATATNTATAAATAGTTGAGACAAGTAAAGATGATATCTGATAGAGATTAAAATCACTATCATTAGAAACTCTTAGAAATTGGTGGATTATTCCAAAAGCAAAATAAAC